GGGGGGACATCTCTAATAGTGTCAACAAATAATAAATAAATAAATAAAATTTAAAGAAATGATTTTTTAAAAAAGACATTGTTTTGGAACTATTCTGTCCATGACAGTGCTGGCAAACTTTTATCCATTCTTTTCTTTTCATTAAATTTATCTTTGTTTAAAGTAGTACAGATGTCAACTTTTTCCCCCCATTGACTCCCCTCCTCCCCACTCTTGTCTCCTCCCCAGGCCTTCACCCCACTATTCATTTTCTTAATCAAATGTTCATATACTGACAAGGTACCCCTACATACTGTTGATAAAACATATTAATAAAAATTACTACTCTTTTGCCCCCAGAAGTTGACAATAATTGTACTTAAAGTGGCTGTGGGAAACTACCTATTGTCTTCTCTAGCAGAGAGGTGTGCACAAGGAGCCCGGATTGCCGGTGACTCTTGAAGCCCTGGCAAAGGTCAGGGCTATGCACCCACTGTTTAGTGGAGACAATGGTAGCTGAAGCAACTTCCCGACCAGATAATCATGTAAATCCTTACTGATAAGATAGTCTGTCTGTTACAGGAACTTGCCTGCCTAAGGGCTATAGGTGTATCCCAAACTGAATAAAAGGATGGCAAGGCCTGAGCACAAGTGGAGTCCATCCTCTTGGGATGGGCTCTCGCCTGGCCCCCCAATTTCCATATTATTTCTTGTCTCATCTCTTTCATTTGCGTGCGGCCCCTCTTCCAGATCCTGAATCCTGAACCACATGGGACATGGGGGACCATTCACAGTGGCAGCAATGAGTCTCTTGAAAGTTATTTTAACCCTTTGCACAATAATCTTGAGAGTTGATGGATCGCAATGTCAGGATCTATAGATCCAAGTCCTTTCCTTCCAAGACTGTGTCTAACATTTGGGATATGTATGCTGATGGAATGCTTTGCTTTGTTTTGTTTTAGGTATACTCTTTCTTCCTCTGAAAAATTTTATTTTTTAGTGGTATAGGAATAGGGAGCTGCATTTTTGTATTGCCAGCAATGGCTAGAACAGCCGTGGGCAAACTACGGCCCGCGGGCCGGATCCAGCCCGTTTGAAATGAATAAAACTAAAAAAAAAAAAGACCGTACCCTTTTATGTAATGATGTTTACTTTGAATTTATATTAGTTCACACAAACACTCCATCCATGCTTTTGTTCCGGCCCTCCGGTCCAGTTTAAGAACCCATTGTGGCCCTCGAGTCAAAAAGGTTGCCCACCCCTGGTCTAGGCTCTTCCACAAAATACCACGTGCGGGCGCGCA